CCATGTTGGCCAGGTTGGTCTCGAACTCCCGACCTCAGGTGATCCACCCACCTTGGCCTCCCAAAGTCTTGGGATTACAGGTGTGAGCCATCGTGCCTGGCACACCCACTTTCTTAATCATGATCAGAGCAGGGTTGCCATTCTACCACCTTGGTACACCTGCCTAGAGGAATGAGTGGTGCTGGGAGCAGACTGAGGAACATCTCAGCTGAGTAATGAATCCAGCACTGTTCTAAGAAAGCTCAGATGTTCTGTGACTCATTTCTGTCCTTTGGACTAAATCTAATTTTTAGATTTAGGTCTTGGAACTCACACAGTGTCTTATCGGCGGCACAGCTCTGAGCTAAGGGTGTAGGGAGCATCTGCCCAAACAAAGGCAGGGTCCAGTCTGCGGGAGAGAAGAAGGTCCCACCATGCCCCTGCACAAGTCCCAGGCTAGCTGGGGAATGAGAAGTACATTGGGCCCAGGACCTGGACAGAGAGTTCTCTTGGGAGAGGTGTGGGGACACCTGAAGGAGGACTTTCTGGAAGGGGAGGGGCTGGAGCAGAGCCTTCTGAGGCCAGAGTGATCTTGTAGATGGAGAGAGGGTTCTCCACGTGGCAGGGGCTGGCAGAGGCAGATGCCCAGACAGGTCATAACTCTCTAGGTGCCCAATTACTTGCCCTCGGTGAGCTCGGCCATCGGCGGGGAGGTGCCCCAGCGCTACGTGTGGCGTTTCTGCATCGGCCTGCACTCAGCACCTCGCTTCTTGGTGGCCTTCGCCTACTGGAACCACTACCTCAGCTGCGCCTCCCCGTGTTCCTGCTACCGCCCACTCTGCCGCATCAACTTCGGCCTCAATGTCGTGGAGAACCTCGCGTTGCTAGTGCTCACTTACGTCTCCTCCTCTGAGGACTTCAGTGGGTGCCTGGATGAGGGAGGAGTGGGGAAGGGTTCCCTGAGGGGACGGGCCTGCCCCTACCACATTCGGACTTTCCTACTTAGTGGTGTAGGCACTCCCTGCAATAGGGACCTTCCTACTTAGTTGGGTGGGCACTCCCTGCAGTGTGGCTCCCAATCCTCTTTCCCTCCAGCCATCCACGAAAATGCTTTCATTGTGTTCATCGCCTCATCCCTCGGGCACATGCTCCTCACCTGCATTCTCTGGCGGCTGACCAAGAAGCACACAGTAAGTCAGGAGGTACGGTCTATCCCTAGCGGGGGCTCCAGTCAGCCCAGAAGAAAATCAAGGACATCTGTCCTCAGGATCCGGGTAATGGTGAGGTGGGAACTGAGTTCTAATGGGAACCCTGGCAAAGGGGTGTTGGGGTTCGGGCTGGGGCTTGGGGACAAACCGAGGGTGGTTGGTCAGAATCTAGGACTGTAGCACTGTGTTTGGGAGACTGGAGAACAGAAGATCTGAAGGCTGCAAATGGGGGTATGAGGAGTTGCATCTAGGCGGCAGTGAGTTAGGAACAGTGTCTAGGGACTGTGGTCTGTCATAATTCCAGCGCCCCGCCCATGTCCATGTGTTTCTTTTCCCCCACAGTATTTGGAGGTTGGGTTGGTGGGTGACTCCATGTAACTTTCATACTTCATCCCCCTGAAGTGGGAGGGGCAAGAGTACCACTGCTCCCTGGCCCTTCACTCCCCCAGAGGCAGGATCATGAATTTGTTCCTCATTCTGGCTGCCCCTGCCTGTGCTCCCTTCCATGACCGCTAGTGGGAGCCAAGGGAGATAAGGCCCAGCCCTTAGGAGCTAGGGCTGGGAGGGGAGCCTATACCCTCATACCCAGCAAACTGCAGAGTGATCAAACAGCCCATTCCCCAGGATCGCAAGTCCTACAGCTGGAAACAGCGGCTCTTCATCATCAACTTCGTCTCCTTCTTCTCGGCGCTGGCTGTCTACTTTCGGCACAACATGTATTGTGAGGCTGGAGGTGAGGCCAGGATAGAATCCATAAGTGGTCATGAGTGGCTATGGGGCAGCAGTGATGTTTTCGATAATGGGCAGTGGTCTTGGGGACTGGCTGCCATTGTGTTGCCAGTGGCAGACTAATGGTGGTGTGATTTATCAAGAGGCCCCTGAGGGGGGTAGCAGGAGGTTCACAATGCCCTGTTCCTTGTGTCCTCACAACAGTGTACACCATCTTTGCCATCCTGGAGTACACTGTTGTCCTAACCAACATGGCGTTCCACATGACGGCCTGGTGGGACTTCGGGAATAAGGAGCTGCTCATAACCTCTCAGCCTGAGGAAAAGCGATTCTGAACCCTTCAATCCTGCTTGGGAGGCAGCCCACTGCCCAGAAACGAGAAACAAGATACCATTCTGGCCTTCCCCACCCCACATCCTCTCTTGGCCTTACTGAAGATGGGGGAAGGGTAAGAAGGGCATAGGCCAAGGCTCACCCCAGTGCTGCTGGCTTCTCTCCACCCCTCATGTGGGCATAGAGGTCCTCAAGCAACATCACCTTTACCTGAGAGGCCCCAAGAAGCTCAGCTGAGCTGGCAGAGCGCCCCAACATTTGGTGCTAAAAAAATGTCCTGAGGTTCATGACCACCATCCAGTTTCTGGCCTTTACATAGCTACCTTTCACTAAGGTCAGGAGCCCCTGAGCAGTGGCTGCTCCCTGACAACCACAGCCATTTCTTTCCACGGGGTCATTCACATGACTACTGTATTTCATGATCTACTGCACACATCCAGGCCTGTGGCCACAGTCCCCTGCTAAAGCTGCTCAGGTGTTCTAGTCCTGACTTTACCCTTTTGATTTGGTATGTGCCCTAGGGTATGTACCCTTCCCTATCGAAGCATCAGCATGTCCATGTGTCTGATGGGGGATGGGTGGGCTGTATGATTTCCAGTACCAGTCTGGGGTTCTGATGTCATCGGGTGGAGGTGGTGGTGTATACCTAAAGGATGACCTGCTACAGAAAAAGCACCAGCACAGCATGTATTTTCTTCTCTCTTCTGAAACTTCTGGCTTACAGACCCCTTCCCTCCTTTGAAAGGTATGGCATAGAGGAGTCAGATGCAGATCCTTACCCTAAAATGGGCTCCCTGGTATCTCCTGTCTTCCCTACTGCTCCAAACCCTAAGTTTTGGTTGTGCATTTTAAAGGAAAATAAATTTTTTATTTTATTTTTTTTTTTTTTGGCCAACAGTTGCCTGGGCTTGCTAGTCTTCGGGCTCATGTTGTTTGATAGTAACAGAGAAGAACAGGCTCAATGATGGAAAGTCCACAGCAGGGCATGATTCCTAGCAGCACCCCGTAGGTCTGGAGTCTCCTAAGGCTGGTCTAAGTGTCTGTTTTGGTGTCCTATCTGTAATGATTCCAGGACTGGAAGCTAGGATACCTGAAAGTCTTCAGTTAGGCAGAGACCTGAGTTCAAACCCCAACTCTTGTTAAAGCTCTGTCTTCCTGGGGATGAGAGATATAGCTCTCAGATACATGACTGTAAGAGCATCTGCCTTTAGGCTAATGGCTCTCAACCTCTCACTTTCTGAGCCCTAAGATTAAGAAGTCTTTCCTCAAGTTTTGTGCCCAAGTCCACTACAGCATCTGTGACTAGGCACCAGAGCAAGGTTGCCCCTCTGGGAGTCTAGAGCTTTGTTAGGGAAATTGGGGGGTGAGGGGAGCCTAGAGCTTTGTTAGGGAAATTAGGGGGTGAGGGGAACACAATGAAGCCTATTGTCTACTAGAAGAAACAAAAGGCTCCCAGTCTCCAGGGAGCCCTAGCCCATGCCCACCCCCTAATGCCCAGCATACAGGGAGGAGCCAGGGCCACTGGAGACAGGAGGTTTTATTGATGCTGATGGGGGTAGGAAAGGCCCCCAGAAGCACGGGGGCTGAGTCAGTCAGCGAATGCATAAGGCCTGGGCACAGAGGAACAGGTTAGGGCACATTCACCTCAGGATTCTGTGGCTCCCTCCTTGGAGAAGGCAGAGAGCATCTTGGGGGTACAATTCCAAGAGCAGCGAGGGCAGAGGTTAGAGATGGCTGAGAGCCCCTAACCTGAGGAGGCACCACAATAGGCAGTAACAACTGTGTGGAAAGCTGGATGAACTGGTCAGTAGCGGAAAACGGGAGAGGGGGCACTGGGTTGGCCTCTTGGGGAGGGCTCCAACCCTGGCTTGGGTGAGCTCGTGAGAATACCCGGTGTTCTTAAGCAGAGGGGGGCAGAACCCAAAGCCCCTTCTCTGCAGGCCTCTTTAAGGAGAGAAAGGCACTCAGAGAAAAAGGCATTCAGTGAGCCCCCTGGAAAGGGGTGCCAGAATTAGTCCTTAAGGCACAGCTGGGGCAGACAAGGCGCCAAGGCACAACTGGTGGGGGGAGGGCAGGGGCAGCCTCCAAGCCAAGTGCCAGGGTCACAAGAGGACGCAGGACCGCCCACGCTTGATCGGTGTGGGGTTGAGCACAGCTCGGACAGCCTCAGCAAACACTTCCTTGACACCATCCTGCTGCAGGGCCGAGCATTCGAGGTAGCGCACGGCGTGGATCTGCTTGGCCAGTGCCTGGCCCTGCTGCGGTGTGATGGGCGCCTGGCCCTGCTCCTTGAGGCGCCGTAGGGTGTCAGGCTGGGCTCTCAGGTCCTTCTTGGTGCCCACCAGCAGGATGGGCACATCAGGGCAGTGGTGGCAGACCTCTGGATGCCACTTGTGCCGCACGTTCTCATAGGAGGGCGGACTGGCAATGGAGAAACAGATGACGAAGACATTGGTCTGAGGGTAGGAGAGTGTACGGAGGCGGTCATACTCCTCCTGGCCCGCAGTGTCCCACAGGTTCAGGTTCACTGTGCGCCCGTCAACTGCGCTCTGAGCACTATAATTGTCGAACACGGTGGGGATGTACTCTTTGGGGAAAGCATTAGTTGTGTAGCAGATGAGCAGGCATGTCTTGCCCACAGCCCCATCACCCACCACCACACACTTGATACTCTGCATCGTGGGTGCAGTTGCTGTAGCGGAGGCAGTGCCTCCTCTCTCTTCTGGACCCCTCTGGCTGCAGTGACCTGTAGACAGATGAAAGGGGACAGTCTTGGTTGGAGGGGGCCTCTACTTATCAGGAAGAAAGGATGGGGGCACACAAAGGGAAACCAGCTCCTGTTCCCTTAATCTGACACTATCCTAAAGTCCCATCAAGACACAGTCATCAGAAAGATACACAATGGGCCGGGCGTGGTGGCTCATGCCTGTAATCCAAGCACTTTGGAGGCCAAGGTGGGTGGATCACCTGAAGTCCGGAGTTCATGACCAGCCTGACCAATATGGTGAAACCTGGTCTT